CCGACTATCAGTAGAAAGCCTGTCGATATCGCCTCTAAGTCGCTCTTGTTTCTAGTTCTATTCCTTGATACCATCTGTCTGAGCCTCTCTAATCATACCTAACAATGGAAAATCAATAGAAATCCTCATATAAATTCCCCCAACAGAAGAACTCGCCGTCTTGCGGCTCAAAGCATCAGCGACCACATTCTCTTTCCCCGGGTGGAAAATCAATAAGTATGACTATGTTCCATGTATTTGTCCGCATGATATCTTGAGAATAGAGGAATATATAATACCTTATCTAAAGGACGCGTCACTGACTAAGTCAGAGTTCGACAGCAGCTTTGGAAAGCTACGATTGCTAATCGGATCCTGAAGTTACATTGGCAGTTACAGCTATTAGACTTATCCAAGTGGGAGACTGTTGTATTTGGCGTCTAGGCCCATAACTATAACTGGGATGTACTTGGCCCGATAGTAGCATGGTCCTTTTGGGTTGCCTTCACCAGTGCAATTTGATAGGCTGGACTTTTGATAATAAGGCTATTTGTGATTTATTAATATATTATAAGTATAATATATTAATTGAGAAATCATATTATTTAATTAGTATTGATCAAGAATTAATTTGGAATTAATTTAGTGATTAAAAGAGACTAATTAAATATACGGGGACTGATTAAGTAAATAAATGATTCTTATAGTCTGTGCCAATGATCCATGGTTAATTAGGATGGGCTAAACCAATATGAAAGTCCATGGAGGTTTAACGCATGGAGCCTAAGTAATATAAAGGGTCATGGTGCATTAAGGTTTGCATGGATGTAATCCTAGCCTTTGCAACACTATAAAAGCTACCCCTTAGAGCCAAAATCGGTTGCCTCATTCATTCTAAGATAGTGATAATTGATTTTGTGCTAACTAGCCTATTCTCTCAACTACCTTCTTTCATTTGGTGTTTGTGACACATTAGAGGCATCACAATTGAGGTGCTAAAGATTTCTAAGGCCAAGAACTACAACTACATAAGAGGTATTCATCTAACTATGAGTTTTTGTATTGTATATCCTCTATGGTATGCTAGTTAGGATGTGTGCTTTGGAAAATTGAAAATGCATATATAATTAGAGAAAACATAGATCCAAAGCATCTAGGGTTGCATGTGCACCATAGGAGTGTTATAGTGCTTAAAACCCAACAATAATAGCATAAGATACAGTCATCGGGCCCTGCCCGGTATACATAGCAGCACATAACACATGCAAGTGTCACGCAGACTCCTAGCATCCTAACATACATATAACGGATGGCATTGGTGTCTTAGACCCACTAAACCCAGTGAGGAAAGTCACCTCAATTGACAGGTAAAAGATCCAACACTTGTTGCTGCTACGAACCGACGAATCCACGAGCTATCAATACTAAATAACATCCAATTAATAATTGGATTCCAATCCATAGCTATCAGTCCATAATTAGGGTAAAGAGACCATTTTACCCTTTACCTAGTTTGGTCTAAGACTAAGACCCAAACTTCTAATCTAAAAGGCCCAAAAACCAAATAACCATCTAAGGCCCACATATGGGCCAATTTTCCAAATTGGGCCCAAATCCTTACATGAGCTTAACCCTAAGGCCCACCAATTTTTCCTAGTCCAAAATCATGCATTCAGATGGCCCAACAAGGCCCCAAGCGACTAAGCCCAAAGGATAACCCAAACCCGAAGCCCAAACATGTGAAGTCCATTAGACTGAGTACGTGGGGCATGCTCAACACATATGTGAAACATACTCGTTTAAAGGCTTGTATGCTAAGCATACCTGCTTGCACGCCCAACATACTCACCCATTCAACTAAAACTTGATTTCAACTCTTAATCCCTTAAAACATAGCTCCAAAACCTAGACCTGACTTCCTTGAGTTGGATTAACATGTAGAGTTACTAACTTTATGTTCATGCATGACTAAATGAAGCTCTTAAGCTTAGAAGGAACTTAATATATGACTTAATGCATGAATGAGACCTAATACCCTATAAAGTTGGCACCTTTATGCTTAGAAATCCCTAATAAGCTTAGATCTAGAGGAATATCCCTTTAAATGTCCCAAACCATCAATCAACTCAAAGGGGACCAAAAGTGTGACAAACCAAACCATAAAGAGATCTAAGTATTACCAAGTCGAGGTATGAACTTGATACCTCAAAGAGATTGCAACAAATGTGATGATTCTGGATCTATGACCTTCCTTCCAAGCAAAGCACCTTCAATCTTCAAAGCTTCCTTCGCAAAGAGTAAAAAAGCCACTAAAATCCTCTCAAGGGCTCAAGAACACCACCAAGAAGCTTAAGGGACACTCTAGGGTTTTTAGGTGTTTATATAGGGTGCAGTCACCCTAAATTAGGGTTTCAGTATGTCTCACGTACGCCCTATGCAGTTATCGCGGTCAAAATTTCAATAGCGGTCACATGCCGCTATTTGAGATCATGGTTATCGCGGTGGTATAGCGATGATATAGCGGTTTTTAATATTACGTATAATTTATAATTTTATATTATATTTATATAGAATTTATATATTTGAGTATTAATACTATAAGTGTATATAAAATTAATATCATCAAACCTAAAAATCCATATAAAAACATAACATAATATTCTATTATATAATATGGAAACTAGGTAGTGTCAAAGTGTCAAATAGAGTTTAATTACATTGCACGGGTTCAATATCGTATTAGTAGGTCATGGCTGATTTAAGGAGTTAAGTCCCAAGTCGTAGCCTCATAGGTGTGGGTCGATTTACAAAAAAGCATTAATGGAGTTCGACCATAGCAGCTCAAGTCGTCGTGAGTACAGAAAGAGATGAGAAAGAGAGTTTTCGGGAGACATAGTTGCTTTGAATGTTTTTAATTATGTTAGTTGTTCGGGCTTTTTAAAATGAAAGTGTAGTGAGATCATTAAAACTATTTTTTCATCGACAAAGTAACCAAATGGTCCAAAATGTGAATGAAAATGAATAGCACCCATAGCGCCGCTATAGCAGTTATTGAAATACCGGTGAATAGCGCCGCTAATAGCTGTACCGTGAACTGAAAATTCTAAACAGAAAAAGCGGTTCTTGACCTCCACAAAACGCTATAGTGCCGCTATAGTGCGCAATTGATAGCTTAGGTACGTCCTGCGCACATAATTGTACGCCCAACATACGAGTCCGGAGTCCCGTTCCCACCTCGCATCAGTACGCTAAGTGTACCATGTGGTATGCCCTGCGTACTCGCTTCACAGCTTGTACGCCAAGCGTACCATGTGGTACGCCCCGCATACTGCCCAAGGACCAAAAGTGCAACTTTTATAATAACAAGGGCAATAATGAACATTCTAATATTTGAGTGTTACAAGAAACATCGGCTTGGTATATATAAACTCATAAATTTTGCAGTACATTTCCCAGTGAAAATATAAGTCCATATATCACCATCATGACCTTCCAAATAGTACTTGATACGATCTGCCCATGAAGAGTATTCGGTTGGTATAAGGGTTGGTATAAGGATAGGTGCATAATTTCCTGTGCCAAGACTGTTTGCAACTGAAACTGAATAGAGAACATTTTGGTTTTGATTCACACTTGCCATTGGGAACAAGTGATACTAGTTTATAACTTGAAAAAAAAATTGTGAAAATTTTTCTAATACTCAAAGTCGATCACACGAGCTCTGATACCAACTAAAGAAAATGTGAAAATCAGTAAACCTTAGACTTGAAGAGTCCAAGTGTTGAAAAGACTAAAACAGAGTTTCAGAATCGTCAAGTGGCAAGTAATGCGGAAAATAAAGAGTTGTGAATCAACCAAGTTTATGATAAAAACATTTGTATGTTCAAGATCAATGATTCGAAAGTGTCTCAAATTCATAAAGATTTAGTTACAAGTGTTTGAAATTGTAAGCACACTAAAACACTCAAATGATTTTTACTCCATTCTTAATAAACATTGCTTAAACCATCCTTAAGAAACATTTCAATCACTCTTCATTTATATTATTAACAAAAACTATATAGCTTTTACTCCGTTTCCAGTGTGAGATAGATATAGAAAACTTGTAAATCAATTAACTAGGAAAAGTTTATTATGGATGGTTTAAGCAATGGTCCTAAAAATTTGATCATCAATTTTAGTTTGACACTATAAGGTAGGTTCTAAATATTTTTCAATGCACTTCTTAATATTATTCCTATATAACTTATTATAAGATTTAAAAAATAAGATAATTTATGGGACCCACCTAGTTTATAAGTAAACTCTTCATTACATGTTCTCTTGCGTTGCAATACATAATGCATCCGTCATACATTCGCATATACTTCATGTGTGCGTGTGTTTGACTCGTTGACTACACGTGTCGTTCTTTCAAAAGCATATATATCATCAATCTCAACTGTAACCGTCCAACAAATCTTATATCATATTTTTCATCGGTTACTTATTGTCATTAAACGAAAAGTAAGGCCACTTCTACTCTATATATATTTGATCCCTAAACTAGCAAAGAATCACCACAACACAAAATCAGCTCCAAAGGAGTGATTTCGACATAGAAGATAGCCAACCGGTTTCAGAAACCCTAAAACTACAAACTATGGGTATCAATGTGCAAGGTCTCAAAACTTATGTGTATGATCTGAAATACATTAGAAACCCGGGGGTACCAGAGTGCACTAAATTACCAACCCTTCCCTCGCCAAAAACACCTGTTGAGTTGACCAGAGCACGCATTCAACAAGCTGCTCCATTGTCCACAATGTCTGGCCCTGAATGTTGCGAGAACCACCTACACTCTCCTCCGGCGGTGAATCCGTTACTTATTGTCATTAAACGAAAAGTAAGGCCACTTCTACTCTATATATATTTGATCCCTAAACTAGCAAAGAATCACCACAACACAAAATCAGCTCCAAAGGAGTGATTTCGACATAGAAGATAGCCAACCGGTTTCAGAAACCCTAAAACTACAAACTATGGGTATCAATGTGCAAGGTCTCAAAACTTATGTGTATGATCTGAAATACATTAGAAACCCGAGGGTACCAGAGTGCACTAAATTACCAACCCTTCCCTCGCCAAAAACACCTGTTGAGTTGACCAGAGCACGCATTCAACAAGCTGCTCCATTGTCCACAATGTCTGGCCCTGAATGTTGCGAGAACCCACCTACACTCTCCTCCGGCGGTGAATCCGGCGATGTCCTGCAGATCGCCTCTCTCAATTCTTACGTTACCGGGAACACTGATTCGAAGATCGCCGTTGTTCTGATTTCCGATGTTTATGGTACGCAACTTCACTCCACTCTTAGTGTTCTTATTTACCAACTCTAACTACTGTAATCAATGATAAGATTTATATCTGGATGTTCACTAGTCACTCTTGCAAAAATTAGGTTTTAATCCATAAATAATTTACCTTTCAAGAAGCTAATTCATTAAAACACCTGTATTTTATAACTGTGAAGCCTATCTTTTAAAATCACTAGCCCTTTTTTGGTTTGCAAGTCAACCATAGTTTGTATGATCATCTTATTGCTCTAATTTGTTTGCGTCTGGTATCTTTTGTGCAGGTTATGGAGCTCCAAAATTGAGGTATGCCTTGTTGCAAGAACATCCCCTTATATTAAATTTTTTCTTTTCTGTGGGTTAATTTATTGATTTGATCATTAGTTCCTTCTGGAAAATAAGATTACGGTGTTTAATTTTAATTTTACAGGAAGCTTGCAGACTTAATTGCCTCTTCTGGGTATTATGTCGTCGTCCCTGACTTCTTCCATGGAGACCCCTTGATTCCTGATTCTCCGATTCAAGATTGGCTAAAGAATCATGGACCGGTTGGTTTTCTGTCTAACACACACCTCGTTATCAGTTAAATTTTATTGTTTTCCATTTCCAAATGTTTTAAACTTCAAATTATATAAATTAGCAAGTTCTGTAAGAAGTGATATCTACCTCGCACTTAAAAGAAAACACCATGAATAGATTAATGGTATAGTTTCAATTCTAGATTTCCAATGTCAAATAACATTCATTATTTATACTTTTTTTTTCTTTTCTTTTTGTAGGTGGAAGCAGTAGCATTTGCAAAATCGGTTATTCAGGCTCTCAAAGAGAAGGGTATCTCTAAAATTGGGGCTGCAGGATTCTGTTGGGGTGGTAAGACTAGCTTCACATCAACTTTGTTAATAAATGCCAAACACAGTACAAGGCTGTCATGTTCTGTCTTGTCCTGTGTAACAAATCGGGCTTGGTTGACTCGGTCTGAGTTGACTTAATTTTTTTTTTTTTTTAGCCAAGGTTGTTGTTGAGCTAGCAAAAGAGGCTGAAATACAAGTTGCTGCTCTCTTGCATCCTTCGTTTCTCACTTTAGATGATATCAAGGGTATGTTTCATTCAACAACATTTATCATTATCCCTCATTTCTAGAAACGTGTACATGTTTAAATTCTTCGAACCTAAATCAAAACGTTAATTTTCTGTAATTTCTGAGGTTTTTTGAATTTTTTTTCTTATTGATATGATGGTTTTTAGGGGTTAAGGTTCCTATTGCAATACTGGGTGCTGAGATTGACAGAATGTCTCCACCAGAACTTGTCAAAGAATTTGAGCTTGCTTTAGAAGCAAAACCAGAGGTAACTTCTTCGAGCTTTTGTAAAGTTTACATTTTTTATTTCACCTTTAACTTTACTTTGTAAAGTGTACTACTTTTCTTACACCTGTAATAAAGTATAAGAAAATAACAATGCACTCCCAAATTTAACCAATTTTAGTAAGGTTGTCTAAATACAAATCAATTTCAGTTTCACTGCAATAATTGGGTAGATATTTCAAAATATAATGTCCTAATAAGAAAATAATTTAAAGTACAATGGTATAATTGGGTAGAATATTCAAAATTAATGTCGTAACTGGTAATAAGAAAAAAATAGAGAAAGTACAATGTTATAATTGGGTAAATTTTTACAAAATATAATGTCATAATAAGCAACAAAATTGAATGTACAATGTTGTAATAGAAAGAAATATAAGTAGGATGCGAGTCCGTATCCCACTTTTTTGTGTGGGACAAAAAATTTCGATTTTTTTTCCATTACCATCAGACTGTTTCAGTCCAATGCATGTCAAACACAGTACAACCTGTTATGTTCTGTCATGGATCCAACATATGAACAGACAGGGAAGGAAATATAATTTTATGTTGGTATGCAGATTGATCATTTTGTGAAGATATATAATGGGGTTTCGCACGGTTGGACTGTCCGATGGAAAGATGATGATGAAATCGCGGTGAAGTGTGCAAAAGAGGCGCATGAGGATCTTGTGGCTTGGTTTGGCAAGTGTCTTGTATAAAACCAGTCGACCTGTAAAACATAATAATGTAAAACAAAGAGAGATGGAGATGATAGAGAAAACTCCATTTACAAATAAATAAAGTGTTGTGAAGACTTTGTAGTAAGTTTTTAATGCAAAGTTAAAAGTGTGATTTGGATCGTGTGGTTGTTTGATGAATTTAGTTTTATGTTAACTATGATCGTGATAAGTGTTGATTGATTAGTAACAACGAGAGGAGTGGTCCTTAAGGTTGTTTCATGGGTAAGATGGGATGGTTCTATATTGGATAAGTTTTTTTATGACTAAATTCGATTATTAGGGTGAGGTTATTTATGTCTTTTGCACATTTGAGAGATCGAAAACAAGTCCATCTAATCTTATGTCTTTTTATACTTATGTCAAACCAACACACTTGTTGTTAGTCCCTATTCAAGAATAAAACACTAATAACTGAATATGGGTGAAAATAAAATATTTATTACTTACGATTTCTGAATAAATAGAATAAATTGTAAAAAATCACAGTTTATTAGCACATTCTGTGATTTCTCTATGATAGCTAAAACTTATTGATCTCACAAAACTCATGCACAAAAGTATATGAAAACCTAGAATGAGTACTACATAAATACTAATCTAGAATAGATTTGAAATACTCGGTGCAAACATAGTACTTCAATTCTTATATTGAGTGCAAACTTCTTATCTTTATCTTCGTTTTGTACTTCAAAATGACTTGATCTTCAATATATTTGGATAGCTAAAACTGAGTTCAAGGTTGATAAGAATCGTTTTGTACTTCAAAATGACTTGATCTTCAATATATTTGGATAGCTAAAACTGAGTTCAAGGTTGATAAGAACTCCGCGTATGTAATTAATAGTCTCAAAATCATTAAATTAAAGGGTTCCATAATAACAATCTTCACCAATTTAATAATGTCAAAACCAACTATAGAATTTACAAATAAAAGACTACTCTATACATGTGTCTTACAAAAGCTAAGATTTTTCTATATATTTCATTTTTCCTAAATAAATCAATGATAGAAATAAAAAATACACCCGTTTCAACCAACCTTTGAATAATCTTGAAACTATTCAACTTCGTCCAAAATTTCCTTCCGGATAATTTTGGATCTTTCAATTTTCGCTCCTTTATCACCAATCTAGAGAGATTAGCATTTGATAACCTTTGCCAGCTCGGTCTATTATATGTATTCTAGACTAACACATTTCCATTTTTCCTCGACTTAGCATTACATAAACCACGAATTCACTTGTTTTCTTCTACAATCATTTCAAAATACACATGTTATATTTATCTAAACTTTTGAGGATGTTAATATTCTCTACATGCATAGATCTATCACAGACAAATATAATAGAAATGGGTTAACCAGGAGAAAAAGAAGAAAAATATGAGAAAGAAAGTGACATATGATGAGATGCACCCAAATCCAAGATCCATCATGCTTGAAGTAGTAAACGAATACAAACTTAAATGAGACATAGATGCTTACATGTAATCAATATTCAAAGCAAGGGACTGTTTGAATTCCTAAAAAACATAAGGATCCAAAGCAGAAGATGGTGTGGTGGTAACATGAACATTTGTTTCTATTGTGGGTGCAACATTAGTAAATTATGGTAGACGAGGGTTAGGTGGCTAGAATGGTGGCTGAAACGATCAAGATGATTTTTTAAATGTGGGGGAATTTATTGTTTCTTTGCCTTGTTGAGTAACAATGATAACTAAAACTTATAATGGTTATTCTACTTGTAGAAAGCACATTAATCAAAAGTAACTTTAAGGGTTGGTCTATTTGGTTTGAAGATTATGGTTATCACAGAACAAATGACAACAGGATAGGAAGATAATTTATCTTCCTGATACTTGAACCAAGTCTTCTCTACAATCAACTTATGAACAACTGATTCAACGATAGGAAGAGGGTTCAATGAAGGATTGTTCCATATAATCCTTTAGAGTTAGATTGTAACGCCATAAAAACTAAACCAAATGCCGCTCTTCCATCCTAGCAATGTAAGGTCTGAAACCTAGTCATGGTTCGACGATAATGTTTTAATTAAACATGTGAGGACATATGTTGTAAGTTTGTCGTACATATAATAATCATACCATATAATAAATTTAAACCTTTTGAATTTAAATCTTTATCTCATAAATATTTTAATTTAACTCTCTATTAAACAAAATTTAATTAATTAACTATTCAGATTTAAATTCTTATTTTAATAATATTTATAACTAATCTTAGATTGAATATTCAAATTTAAATAATTTAAATAATATTTAAATTAAGAGGTTTATCCCTAAAGTTCGAAAAAACTAGAAAATCCAAAAAATTGGAAATCATCCGGTAGCACCGCATTCATCAAAGATCCAGAATTTGATTTTTGATTTTAACAAAGCAGTGCATATAACTACAACCTAAAGGCTTTGATACCATTGTTAGCTTTTATTACATATATACATAAAGGATTAGCACATTGAAATAAACAAAATCATCCCTAAGGATACATTCACCCTAGGATCTAGCTTTTACCAGTAATAGTAACCTATTTAAAAATTTGACTAGAGAAGGATAAAAACAATAAAAATGTTGATCTTTTGACTGAGATCTTGTGATTGCTAACTCTTGCAAAGGATGAAGGACCCAAAGAAGAATCCCTCTAAGGCCAATAGTCCTCATAAAATCTCTGCAACTCAGGGGTCATAGTTGTGATAATGATGCAAATAACTTTTGTCGCATCATCGTAGTGTTTCTTGTAGGAGGCTAATTCTTCAGGAGTGACATTCTCTTCGTCAATTTCATTTAGTTCCTTCTCAAGGACATACTCCTTGTTCTCGAAACGAAGGGTCATTTTAATGCAGCCCATCCAATCGTTGTAGTTGGTGCCATCTAATGTCACTTTTGAGCAGATTGACAAAAACGAGAAGTTATGGTGGTTGGAGGAGGAGGAGGAACCAAAAGTATCAGCTGGAGTAGACATCTATAAAAGGAAGGTAGTTTTAGTTAGACAAGAAAAATCCTTAATATAGTAACCCAAAATAAAATATTAAGGCTAGTACCCAACTATATAATTCACAACTTCGAAAAGGGATGTCATAATCTAATTGTAAATTTTATAAAGGTAGGTAAATGACGATTTACCAATTCCACCAGAAAAGAAATGAAATTAAGCGAAATTCTTAGGTCTTTTGAGATTCATTGAAACTATTCAATGACATATTTAATCTCAGATTATGTTCTTCTATTTATGACTGGGATACCGAGGATCACAAACAAGATGTGAATAACCATGGAAATGTGCTTGGTAATCTCATTGTCATTTATCATCCCAATTGATGTGCTGGTAAACCACACACGCTCCATCAACAATGATAATTTATGAGATACCCATTACAACTCGTTATTAGGCCCTATTAGTGTGCTGGTTAAGCACACATGCTCCACTAACGACTTGTAAACTGTAATGTGCAATTTCACGGGTTAGCATACTAATTCACATTTTTCCTAAAGTAACTAGATTTGGGATTTTAAATAAAAGGTTCTAGTAATTTTAATAGCATTATACTTGTAATGAGATTTGGTTGTCCTGTCCGTTCTGCTAACGACCCTCCACTAATCAAGGAAGCGATGGGTAATAGTGGACACCCATTCAACTACCATTTTATAGACAGTTTCCTTATACCCCCTTATAGACTAGCTTCTTAAATGAGAAATACTAACAATTCGACTGACTAATTCTTATACATATAATATATTAACAATTAATAATAATAATAATAATAATAATAATAATAATAATAATAATAATAATAATAATAATAATATATAAGGTGTATTTTAAACTTTTCAAAATACTAGGTTTATTTAATTTTTAAAATTTGAAAATTAATAATCAATTAATATAAATTTAAAATAAACCAAAAAATTGATTTAATATTTATCGATTAATTAACAATTAATTAAAAACATTAAATCAAATAAGGATTAACTAATTAAATTAATCAAATAATTTAATCCTAATCCTAACCCTCTAATGTTCGAAAAATAGGGTGTAGGAGTTAGCCAATTTTATAATTATCCCTTTTAATTAAATTAAACTAACAATTATCTAAAATGGGAAACCCTAACCATATAGCAATTTTCAAAAACATGGGGAGGAAGGCTAGGGTTTGAAAGCCCTAACCCTAATTTCAAAATCCAAGGGAAGGGGCTAGGGTTTCGAAAAAAAAAACTTTAACCCTAGTCGAATTTCTTGGCCTTTTAGGGTTTAATTTCTATAAACCTTAATTGATCCAATTCAATACTTATAGCAATTCAATTGAAAACAAACGAAATGCTCTGATACCACTGATAGGATTTTGGTAAAACAAATAAACTTAAAACCCTTAAGTTCACATGCAACCTAAGGATCTATGTTTTCACTATTGAACCTATAACAAAGAACATCAAATAAGAAACCCTAGAAACCCTAGGTGTAATTCAAAAATCATAAAGGGTTTAGGTTTACATACCTTGTTGTTATTATAGTAAATAACAAGAATTCCTTCACTTGTAGATCTCTTAGAAGCAAGCATCACAATTGTTGTGTCTCTAATAGCTCACACATAAACTAGCAAAAAGGAAGACTATAGAGAGAGGAGAGGGGATGTAAGAATATCCGCTATTCCTTTGGAATGAAGAGTGACCAGAAATGCAAGGGTTAAGAGTCCTTATATAGTGGTCCAAGGAAACCCTAGATAACCCTGATTTGAATATTAAATTAATATTTCAAATATGGTATTTATCTCATTCATTATTTATTCACATGGGATATTCTAGAAACCCTAGAATATCCCCCAAAACCGTCCAACTCTAATGGTGGAAGGTTCTGGAGCTTTTTGTTTAACTATTAAACAATTGTACTTTAGACCTTCAACTTTTAATTAATTATATTAATCCCAAAATTATAACTAATTAATTTCTGATTAATTATTAATTAAATAATAACTATTCTAATTAATATATTATTTGCATAAAATATTAATAAACTATTTATTTCAATTTACTAATTACATAATAAATTAATCTCTCTCTCTAAAAGTCATCATGTCCAATTTCTAGGTTTGAGGGCAACCCAAAAAAACTGTGTT